CCCCCCCCCCCCCCACAAAGATTAAGTAGTTCAGAAACATGAATTTTATGAAAAATAACCACTGGCAACCATAGTTTTGTTCTCGTATGAACTTTTATTTAAAAAAAATGAAATCTTTCCGCGTTGTACTTTTTCATTTTCTATACAATCACCGGTTTATAATGTTTATTTCATACGAGTCAAAAAGGTGCACTATTGCACTCGGTTGACCTCACACAATCAAGACGATAAAAGTTATCTTTGTTATACAGAGTAACAAAAACAGTCTCATCGTAGAATGCTATATATCTTATAGAAGTGTACGTATTAAAACAAAACTATGGTTACTATTGTTGTTACTCTAAACGACCAAAATTACGTACGTTATATTTCTAAATCATAAAAGTGAAACCTGAGATTATTATAAGCCTAAGTCTTTAATGTCACAATATCGTCTAAAAATTAAAACGTCGAACTATTAACTTTTTATTTCGTTTTTTCTTAGATGCATTGATCGAACAATTTATAAAACGTGAACCAGCGAATACTGATGATGATTCACCGATCTATTGCTATTCAACTCCATCTTTGTCATCACCATCATGCACGATGACCACAGCGATGGATGAATATGAAAATAGTTGTTCAACAACATTAAAAATTCTTGGTTGCAATACAACTGCACCATTAACATCAACGAATACAACAACAACAACAACGATCGAATTACTAACATTTGCTGCCTTGCAACAACGGCAACAACAACAACAGCAACAATTTTGCTATATTAAACAAGAACCACTAACAACAACAACAACAACAACGTTTCTACTACCCCGATTACTTCCATAGTGAATGTATGAGTGCGCGTGTAGGCCAATTTTTTTTGTGATAATAAACAACAAATACAGTAGCTACAGGTAACGGTAAATACCAAAAAAGGAAAATGGTTTTCTTGTTTTTTGGTTGTTTGTTTGTTTGTTCGTCGAAATTTTGTTTTTTTCTGTTATTGTTCATGTTATTTCAGCATATCAACGCACCTATGTGTGTGTTTAGTTTGACTGAAAATCATCTTTACTGTTATAACTGTATTACTGTGGCCATTTGTTTTTTATTTGGCTAGAATTGTTGTTGTTATTATTAAAAAACGAGAAAAAAAAATTAACTGCAGGGACAGTCAAAACAAAGAAGAAATGTTTTTTTTTCTTTTCTGTTTAATACATCTTTTTGTGCATTTTGATTAATGCTATAAAAAGATATCGAAGAAACGCTGTGACTGATATGTGAAGTTTTTTTAGTTAGACATAGTCTATAAAAATACTTCGGTATATCAAAATTTACACAAATAAATATCAAGTGGACGTGGACTTGTATTTGAGGTAAGGTCGCAAATAAAATAAATTGACAGACAAATGCTTTACATTTAACTTTAAGTTTAGAAAATGAATCACTAAAAATTCTTCTATGAATCATAAATCTCCACGTCAACACTATGTTACACAAAGCAATGATGAAGGCTTCTTCTGAAAGATGTTTCAATGAATGAGAAAATTCGATTCAGATAATTATATTATTCCATTATGATTATCGATATGAATGTGATCGTGAGATCAATGGAGTCTTCAATTAATGTTTTATGAAAACAAAAGAAATCTATTCAATGAAATATTCTTTTCTACAAAAACAGGGTTTATTCAATCGTCTTTTTGTATTGTTCGTTCAAATGTGAAGTTTGTCGATAATAATTCTGTTATCTATCTGTAAAGCAATCACTTGAATTAATTTCTATCAATCAAAACAAATATAGATGTGCTGTGTATGATATTCAATGTCACTTGCAATATCATACAAGCAGTTAATCATCAAACGGTAAGACTGTTATTTACGTACTTGATATGCCTAATAAAGATATTCGATTCTTCTAGAGATACGTATACAGATGTCAGAATCGAGTACTTAATCCATTGTGCATGCATGTTCAGCAGATTCATAAACGAGAAACTACATTTTCCTGTTGACACTTTGGAAAACGAAATAGTTGTAAAACCTTAAGTGATCAGGTTATTCAAAACTCCTTGTTTATGTCCAAAATGAATAACGGAACAAAAATGAAGTGCTGCACAAAATTATAGAACGTCTTTAATAATTGACGCTATCTTGTTGTTCAGTTTTATTTGATTGGTTCTATTGATGTTTAGGTCAGTCATAAGCTTCTGAGCAAAAGATCTAAAAAGATCGTAAATTTTCAAATCAAAATCAACGTCTATCCGTATATGAATGGAAAAATCATAAAATAATTAATATGTCAACAAGATGTAGGGACAAACAGATCAGTCTCAATCAGATAGTTCTTTTGCCCATGATATTTCTAGACGAGGAATGACCTTTCCTCAATTGAAATGAAATTCTTAGTAAAGTCCAGTATATTTGTTTCTATAGACGTACAGCTTCCATTTTCATGTATTTTTCGGTTTCGAATGCGGACGCGATCTTAGAGCCGTGTGAAAATGTTTTATTAAACATATTGAATTGTCTATCATTCGATACAGAATATGAGACCGACATCAAATAATAGATTAGAATTCAACATCATGGAAATCCGATTGAGAACAAAATGTTCTATTGTAGAGTGTCACACAAGAGTCATGTGCAATTGTCATTGTCAGCCGACTTAACAGTGTCATTAAGAACTCGAACATTTACACGGCGCATTTGAGATTTTAATGAGAATTATAATCATACACATAAAGTCATACAGAGTCAAGTTTCAAGTAATTTTGAGATCAAATAGAAGAAAGTACAGTAAAGCACCGCACATATTGAGCAGTTTAATGAAGTATTCAAACTTTAAAAGACATTTATTCATAGTTTTTGTTAAAGCGATTCTTGCTGATTATGTAAATGTAAGGAAGGAAGAATTTCTATAGATAAGATCTTCAGAGACCCAGGATAAAATCCAATTGCGACAGACGCCAATGTTTTCAAATCTGTCATGGTATTTAGCATATCTTATCGTTAATGCCTAGCTGTATTTATTTCATTAACTCGAAGCGAAAAGAAAATATCGAAGTTTTTTTTCAAACAGTTAAAAAAGACTTGTTCGAAAATCCGTTTGTGACCGCCCGCCATTTCCTTATCAACCCGAGTACGTGACATAATGAAGTGAATAAATAAATGTTGATACGAGGTACACATTGATGGGTTCGTCGAAGATTTCAGTGAGCTCAAGATTCTGTAATCGATTTTCAACAGACTTTAATTATCTATATTGTTGATTCAGAGATTAAACTCGCATACGACTTGTATACTGTAGATTTCCAAATCACACGTATTCTGCGTAACTTTTTGCGAGTAAACCCTAAAGTTGAATACGTTTTTCCCCACAAAGCTTTCACTATGTTAAATAATAAACGATGCGTTTAGAAAAGAAGTTGATTCTCAATCATCATAAGATCTCCTACACGAGCCGGAAGACTAATGAAAAATGATAGCTGTATTTCAATAGAGAAGAAAAGTACTTTGATGTGCTTAGAATGTGACGTTGATTCAGATCATTTCATTCTTTTCAGGAAAATATGTTGATTGACAAAGTGATATACTTGATACTTGTCCTTTAATAGTTTCACTCGACTATTGAAAACTTCAATGAAATGAATTATTAGTATTTGAAAATTCGACATTATTTCTTTGTATTTCTTATTGTCTATTCTTCAGCGTGAATTAAACAAGAACAAAACTGAATTCGAAAAAAAAAACACCTTGAAATCAATATCAATTATCAACATTGAAAAGATCACTTTTCTTCAACAAAAACTTGATATTTATTCTCTACAAATGCAAAAAATGATTTGACTATTCGATTTTAGGTTCTAAAGATAAAGCAGATAAGACTGTCGTTCTACTTCAGAGAATTTTTTATTCTCTTTGGTTAAAATCAAGTCAACGTAATCTCCTAATAAGATTCCGAGACTTTTATTCTTGACACCAACCAATCGGCCTTTCAGACAACATTCATACGATATTTAAAAATGATAATACAACGTAGCCATACGACAACAAAGGTATTAACTGAAAAATCTTTTGAGAACGAAACTCAGTAGACTCCTGGAATATGATGAACAACCATCTGTAACTTCGTTGCAACATAAAAACTGGTGTATTTTGCAGAACAAAAAAAAATCCTTATCCTTTTTTTTTACACATCAAAGGTTTATAATCTTATAAATAGAAACTATATATATTACAAGCATTTCTTCTTCGCAGATTAAACAATAAAGTATTAATATTCTTTTTCTTTTAGATTTTTTTATGGCATTTTATTATTAATGTTTCTAACGATTACTATTATTTATGCGCTTGATTTCTAACGTAATTATATCACGCCCAGCATCATAATTTGATTAATGACGAAAGTAATTATAACGATGAAACAGGTAGATAGAAAAAAAAAGAACAAAAGAAAAATTGGAACCTTTCTTCTTTTCCTTTTATGTTCAGATAATTCAAATGTTTCGAATAAAATACATTTAGTCATAGAATATATTTGTAATTATATATACGGTCTAACTTTTATATTTCTTCTGTTCATTTTCTATGCATCTATTTATGGTTCACTCCGTATTATAAATAGCCTGAATTCTGGTAAACATTTAAAATGGAATTCTTTTGTATTAATTTACCAAAGCTTTTGTTTTTCTAACCAAGCAATGACGAATAACTATATAAAACACTAATGGAATAAAAAGAAAAATAGTTGCCTTATTTTGTTCTTACTTTTGGCAATGGAAAGGAGAAAAAATAGAATAGTTCATGACTCATATATGCTCTTTTTTTTGCTTCTTTTTTTCTTCTACTCTTTCCAGACGTTGTCAATGTGACCGTTTCTTGTCACATTACCGGTGACATACGTCTATATAATTGAACAGTTGAGATGTTTTTATATGGTCCTTTGTTTCTGGCGAGATGAACTCGCCTTGATGGTGGAATAAGGGGAAGAAGAACAAATGAGACCAAAAAAAGAAGAGAAATCCAATGAAGAGCTAGGAAGAAATGAATTTCTTTTTTTTTTCCTTTCCTTTCCCGACTATTTTCCCATCTATTGAGAAACTGGAAGGAAGAGAAGAAAAGAATATGCGCCTTGTTCTTCTTTCATACTCGTTCTGTGTCTGTCTTTTTCTAGATATATATCTGCGTTGCTGCTACTCTACGCTCTCTCATGTATCTATAATATTACACTGCACCATCACACACATACAAGCACATCTTTCTTCTCCTCCTTTTCGTTCTCGCGGGTGGTTTTTCACTATTGTATGATTATTTGCAGCAAACATGCTAAACGTCATCTTTTGTAAGATTTTATTTTTTTATTTTGCTGTTGTGTTATGTTAGTTGTTTTTCTGATCAAACGCTTCGTTTTTTCCATTTATTTATATCTATGTATTTGTAACCATTATCAATTGATAAGAAAAATTCTCTTTTTTTTTCGTGCCTAGCGACAATGTTTTTCAACACTTTGACACCAAAATTTTATGTCGCACTTACAGGAACATCATCATTAATCTCCGGTCTCATTCTAGTAAGAAAAAAATAAATAAAACCGCTTGTTTTTGTTGATGCAAAAAAATTGGTTTTTTGTTTGATTAGATATTTGAATGGTGGTATTTCAAAAGATACGGTACATCTTTTATAGAACAAGTATCTATCAATCATTTGACACCGATTTTAAATGGAAATGAATCAAATACTTCTTCATTAACAAATAACGATTTATCATTACCATCATCATCGTCGTTGATGAATGGTTGTAATAATGGAAATGTATGTAATAGTGCTATGGGAACGAGTAGCTTATC